TCTTGGATGGAGCCAGAGCGGTAGGATGGGCAACAACAACAAGCCTCCGAAGCGGCGTCCCCCCAGAAAGAACCGTTGAAGACAGCCACTAAGGGCCGTGCAAGGTGGGCACTGGGCACCAGCGGGTCCCACCGATTTCTTCACTGTCGATTCGCCACGAGATCGCTTCCGCCCGTGGCTACCCGCACACTATCTTCACCCTGGTTCATGTCATCATGATCTTGAAGCGTCCGCCCTTAGCCATCAACCATCCTTTGCCATAAGATAACACAGGGGCACGAGGAAAAGCCAACGATTAACAAGGTAGATGCCACTGCTACCGAGGCCGCCAGATCCATCTCTGACCCGTTTCAATGTCGACAATAATTGATGCAGATGCAGGGGCTCGCTTTGTAAGAGCCGTCTCGAGGTGCGAATGTTTTCTTTTATCGATTGTTCTCCAGTCTCAGATAAGCTAGACAGAGATCTTTAGTACTAACCGATGTGCTTTCTGCAGGCTGCTGGGATGGGTCTAGTAAGTCCATCCAGAGACTGTAGTCGCATTTGCAAAATGCCTAGTCACTGATCCTCTCGACAGTACACTGTCCTGGAGCGCTTCATTCTATCCTCAACCGTGGCTAAACTGGAAACGTCGATCCACAGAAGGCCTCGCTATTGATTTTCCGGTTCTCAACGTGCTCGGCTTCCTATGCTACAGTGTATCAACCTGCTGTTTCCTGTATTCCCCAACGATCCGAAGACAATATGCAGCGAGGCATCCAGCATCTCCAGAGCCAACTGTTCAACCGAATGATGTTGCTTTTGGGGTGCATGCCGTCATCCTCGTCATCTTGACCTACTCGCAATTTTACTCGCGATTATGGGGCTTTCAAGAGTCGGCTCATCAGCGAGTCACTCGCCCAGTGTTGGCCATCGTATGGGGAAGCCTCCTTGCTGTTGCCGGCATGGTCGTATTGATGGGTTATCGCTCGGGTCTGAGGGAGCAGGATCCAATGGATTGGGCATGGATCGATGTGGTGAGATGATTCCCAGTAGCTCTCCGTTTGGTGACACGACTGACTGGTAACGGGCAACCACTGCAGCTGTACACCTTGGGGTATATCAAGCTCGTCTGCACCTTTGTTAAGTACATCCCACAAGCTTTTTTCAACTATAAGCGCCAATCGACCGAGGGCTGGAGCATATTGCAAATCTTGTTCGATCTGACGGGAGGGGTGCTGTCTGTAGCCCAGCTGATCATCGATGCGAGCTTTGGGGGTGACTGGAGTGGAATCACCGGGAATCCTCTGAAGCTCGGGCTCGCAAACATTAGCATGGGCTTCGACCTACTTTTTATCGTTCAGCACTTTGTTCTGTACCGGGAACGGGAAGAGATATACAAGGGCTCGGACGAGGAAAACGACCCAGAACGACCGCTGCTCGGCCGTTGACCGCAGACCCCAGCCATAGCTATCTCGCGACTTCGCCAGGCAAGACCGCCCGTTGCGCAGTCAGTTCGGGTGAGCACTCGGGAAACGACGAACACCCAGTTCGAAGGTGAACGAGTTATCTTCGAGCCAAAAAAAGGTGACCGTTCCTTGTCCAGGGGCCATGCAAGTTCTGCCTCAGCTGCTCGCATGGGTTTCTTAAGTTGCACTCCTTTGAGGTGCTTTTCGCCCGATTTGGACCAACGGAGATGCGGGCTAGGCAGATGATGCGCCGTTGGTTCCTCGCTTAGCCACGCGTTTAGCGACGATTCAGCAGGACTGATGCTGGTGGACGCCCGACGGCCCGTTTACAGAGGGTCTTCATTATGGGAACGAAGGCGGGATTTGTTCGACTGGACAAGTCTTGAAAAGATCAGCACTGGTGGTGCTGGTCCATGGCGAAGTCACCTCAGCGAATTTGATGTGCCAAAACAGGCAGCTGACCTATCACAGAGGCTCATCACACTTTCAAATAGATATCACAATAGAGAGCAATAATAGAATACGTGCGAGCGTGTACTCGTACAACGGTAGTCCGTACTGTGGACTCTATAATAGTTTGGGATTATGTGCCTCGCCACGACTCCTTCATGACAAACCTGACCGAATATATTTATAAGGCTTCCACGCTAGGTTTCATGTGCCTCTAACGGTCCGATCACGAGTAATCGTTTGAGTGATTGGCCTCGAGCTCTCTTACTCGCAGTCCACCACCCTCGCCGTCAGCCGGAAAAAATGCTATAATTCTTGCAGGTTTGTCTTTTTACTATCTTCTGATTTGTGGCCAGAGTGGGAAGAGGACGTGCATAGAAGGGTGTTGGCGGGAATAGGTCTCCGATGGTGCTTTTCGAGCAGACAGCTTCGCTCCCTGGGGAAGCTTGTGAGCCTAGTTAGCGCTTCCGTTGTCGGGGGCTGGGGAGAGAGGTTTTTTGGTCGCTTCGGATAGGGATGAGCGGGACTGCTCGAAGACCTGGAAAGGCATGGGAGGGCTACTGGTCCAACATCAAGACTTGCCGTGCAGGCTTGAGGTGATTCCTTTGGCTGTATCAAGCACCTCGTACGAGGGACTCGCAGGTCTTGCATATTTAGGGCCGGCACCCCTGTTGGCCGACAGGTTTTTAAGCGACAGGGCCCGCGGGAGAAATGAAAGAAGCTGCGGACGGGTTTCCAAGCAAAGTTCTTTTGCGGACTGCGGGGCTTGCCAGCGAAGCTAAAAAGAGTCAGACTTTCAGCTAATCAGATGAATTGAGGCTCTGGAACTGCCCGTTGAGCTGGCAGGACCCAGCCTGTCTGGGTAGATTTCTGGTCGTTGACGGGTGTGAGAGTGAAATTGGGAAGAAATGGTGGCGAGAAGAGAAAAAAACGAGGACAGTGAAAGAGAGAGAGGGTAAAGACGGGAGAAGGTGCAGGACGCGCAGGGACACATCACTCGTCGCAACACGGGTTGGCACCTAGCATGGTCTTTGGGGGGGTGGATGTGGCTCTTGAGGCCCAATCCGTTAGGTGAGGCAAGGCAGAGACACCAATTAAAACCAGCTGCGGTAGTGTTGCTGGGCTGCTGGGCTGCTGATGCCAGCGAGCGCCCTGCGTGTGCGTGTGGGAATGCCCATTGTAGCGGTTTGTGTTGCTTCTTCGTGCATGGTCTCAGCTGCAATGGATCACCATGGTGTCTGGCTCTACGACTAAGAACAATTCCTTGGTTGGGTAGTTGGGAGGAGACTCTCTCAACCCTGACCGTGGGTGCGTTTCAGGGCGCAGTCTGGCAATCCAGATGTCTCTCTCTTCATCTTCCCCTTCTCTTCTGTGTGTCTGCCTCGCTCTCTATTGTTGCTCCACTGCTCGTCTCCCTTTTGCCCTACCGACGGCATCTGACATGCTTGTCGGGCCGGGATGACGACCTCCGTTTATGCCTTTACCGTCGCTGTTCCATTCCCAGCACTCGGTGATATGTGTACAAGTGAGATGACATTTCCGGCCATCCGGCCTTCTCCAGTCACTTTTCTTTTCCTTCATTCGTTACTATCTCTCATTGGCAATTCGGCATTCACTCTGTGGGTCGCTGGGTTCGGGACTTGGGGTTTCCTTCTCGCCTATCACAGTGAGGCTTCCAACCCCCCGTAACGCAGTCTGGTATCCGATTGATCTCCTACCATTAATAATTGGCTGCCAGTGTTCAAGTCGCCTAAGGAGGCTTCCTTGCGTTCAGCTTGATTCTTCCACGAGCCTCCCGTGGATCCAGTTGCGTTAGGAGGGGGGCCCCCATTACCCATTAAATTAACAGCCTCAATTCCAGACCCGTGCATGGCTCCCCTAATGCAACAGGCACGAAACTAAGTCTTGATTTAGCTACACAACAACGCACTGCAACTCACCTCTTCATGTAGCCACCAAAACCTTCGAGCTCGCAACATACGGTATGTAGCGTAATACAAAGGCCAAGGATCATCCTAACGACCCTGTATTCCCGTTGACATTCCACCTTTTTTGACCCTGTCTCCCCTTGTAACCCTTTGATCGTCCTAAGTTGGCATTGGCGAGTGGCTGTGCTGGCAACGTGCCCACGCAGCCACGCTAAGCCATCCAAGGCTCCAGCAATTCTTTTTCTGCTCTTCTTCTTCTGTTCAAGGTTGTGGGCGAAGATTGGAAAGGAGAACGAGACGAGACGAGCGGGAGAGGTGAAGAGGGAAGAGGGTGACTTTGACTGCGTCTAAATCCTCCATCCCAACCTAAACCACTCCCAACTCGGCTCCGCATCATCCAACAACAGCCTCGCATCTCTCTCTCGTACACTCTAGTTCCCAAGTCTCTTCTCTTGTGTGCGCCCTTTCTATCACTTGCCTCGTCACCACCAGCAATCCGGAGGAGTCCAAACATCCCAAGAGCATCAGATTCAACCGTGATTCTGTACCTCCCAACCCACCCACCCTACAAACCCGGTGCTTTCCTCGCAGCCGATTCCTCAGAGCCTCCAAGAGCCTCATCCCGACCCTGTGTTACAAGATACCCCTCACTTCCAGCCATTTATCAACTGACCGAGTCACACCTTCACCCAACATCGAGCCATTTTTGCTTCCCGGTAAGAGCATCTTACCACCCCTCCCCCCATGTTGCTTTCATCTTTGGACCAATGTATTCCCATCCCTCTTCAGCCGCCCTCTGCCCGAATACGCAAGTCACCACGCTTGTCATCCCGCCTGACCATGGTCTGGAACGTTTTTGAGTTCGTCAAAGCCCCTCCCCATCCCCATCCCCCGCTACTTATTCCTTTGTGGTAATGAGTTGGCACATCCTGCGGCCCATCGACAACGGACAATGGCACGTCCTACACGTCCCTATTACTCAATGTCATGCGCTCCTGCTGAGCGTGTCCAACCAGCAAAGTCAGAAGAATTTCACCCACTGACATGGCATATGATGCAGAGACGTCGATATTAGACAATCTTTGCCTCCGTAGTCAACAATATCGCTGCCCATCCCAGGGCCGTTCCCTCATCCCTCTTGGATGGTCTGCCATGTGATTTGTCGGGTTCACTCATGTCCCACGATCAAGATTTCTTTATCGACGTCGAGCGGGATATCATCGCACCCCTCCGAAGTCCGGGACTGGAGCCAGTCAACCCGGAGTACGGGCCACGGTCCAGCCCTGCACCTCTTGTACGTGTCGACGAACTATCTTCTGATTCCTCAGAAGCGGAGGATTCGGATACGCTGGGACGGCGGCAGAAGACTATAGCACGGAAGGGTCGAGCAAACCGCACCTTTGCCGATGGCGTACTGATTCTTGCCTTAGATCCCAATCAACGTACACTTGCCAGCCAGGCACGGCGAGCGCCATTAGACTCGAGGAGTCGGTCAGAAGAGGAGGACGAGGAGGACGAGGAGGAAGATGGTGGCAGCAGCGACGAGGATGACCATGACGATGGCGACAACAATAATGCCATCCAAGATGACCCGAGACCGATGAGAGGGTCTGGGAGGGTCGTTCGGATCGGAGCAAACCCGGACTTGGTCAAAGCAAAGCCGACGCCGCAAACGGCTTTCGTCGTCGATCCTGTTGGCCGTGACGACATTGACGACGACGACGACTTTCCTATGATTGACAGCCCAGCCACCCTGGCTGAAGAGCACCCGGTACAGTCGCCTCCAGTGCCTACACAAGCCATCCACAATCCCGAAAGGGAGGCTCCAGCTTCCAATGCCGCGTCGAATCAAGTAGATCTACTGCGAAAGCAGTTCAACACAATTCCACCCCCGAGGACTCGACCACTGTTTCCGAATTTGCGGCTGAATCTTGTTCCGAGCGTTCGTGACGGTGATCAAGATGACGACTCGATCCTGAAGTCACCTATTCTCGGCAAGTATGCAATATCGCCCCGGGATGCCCATCCGGATTTCACCTTGCCAGCCATGCAACAGAGGTCCCCCCCACGTTCCTCACCCGCTGGTCTAGCGGATTATAGGACAACGCTCCCGTCGCTGAAGATCGCCATTGGCGATGTCCCTGAACCAAGCCCAGGGGCATTTGCCTGCCCGTCTCCAGGAATAGGTCGAGCTCTATCCGGCCAGTTTGTTTCCTACGCGTCCCCTGCTTCGTACTCTGCGTATTCTGCCATGTCCCCTCCGGATCCTCCGTCTCACACCAACTGGCGTACTGCGACTGGAAATTCCAATACGTCAACTTTTTCAGATTATACTTCGTCGACCTCCATCTCCGCCTCGACTCCAGCCTCGTCTATCATTACGCCATCCCCGGCAGCCTCAGGTCCTTCGTCGTTGGTCGCTCTGCCTGAGAGAACTCATGAGGGTCAAGAAGAGTACAGCGGGACGTGGCAAGTCTCTACCATGGAGATCGATCTGACATCTCCAGGTGAGGTTCGATCTGTACCTCAGCCTCAGCCTCAGCACGAAGTGGATTCGAAATCTCAACCTCACCCAGCTGTACAAATGAAAGTCCAATATCAACGCACTACCCGACCGCAATCTCATTCCAAATCTGCAGCTCGAGCCCGACCCCAGGTCCAACTTCAGTCTCCTCCTGCGCCTGAACCACGACCACAACGCCGTTCTCAACCCGAATCTCAAACTGAAGCTGAATCCCGGGCTGGGTCCGTGACGGAATCCGAGCTCTCGGAGCTCTCTGAACTTGAATCCGTACCTGACTCAGAGGCCGAGCCTGCACCCAAACAGCAATCTAGATTGCAGCCTAAGCGTCCATCTGTGTCTCAACCGATGACCCAACCCGAGGCCGGGCCCAATGCCGTTGCAATCGCTCGTTTTTCACTTGGTCCTTTTAAATGCACTTACGAGGGATGCAATGCCGCGCCATTTCAGACCCAGTACTTGTTAAACAGCCATATGAATGTTCATTCTGACACCCGGACTCATTTCTGTCCTGTCAAAGATTGTCCTCGAGGGCACGGTGGCTTGGGCTTCAAGAGGAAGAACGAGATGATCAGGTGAGACGATTCCCGTCTGAGAATGGATTTCTTGTTTTGTTGCTGATTACTTCCGTTTCTACCAGACATGGCTTAGTTCACACATCTCCCGGGTATATATGTCCTTTTTGCCCCGACCAGCAACATAGGTATCCTCGGCCCGACAACCTACAGCGTCATGTACGACAACATCATTCGGACGAAGACCGTCACGATCCAAAACTCCGTGAAGTCCTTAACCAGCGCATCGATGGAAATAATAAGGCCGGGAAAAGGCGCATGCGCTTGTTCTGATCGCTGCAAACAAGTGCTTCGGATGCTTCGAGTTTGAAGAGATGCAGACCCACACTTGGATGCTCTGAGCTCGTCACGAAGGAGTTTCTGCAACAGAAACTGCCAATGAGGCTTGGAAACTTACTAGACCGGATCATTTGCGTTGGATTCTTGTACAGCACATTCTCATCGACTTTCATGACACCAGCTTTTGTACTCTTTTGTGCTTCTGACGACCAACAGCAGCAACATGAAAAGAAGATTTCTATCTCGAAGGAACCGGTTTCTCATCGCGAATGCGCATGATTTAACTTAGAGGTTGAACGTTTGGGCTATTGACCCGAGCTTTTGCTGCTCCTGGACAGCTCCTGTTACTGTCTGCCACCTCTCTCGGCTCCATCGCCCGTGAGTGGAGGGAAAAGAGTGGTCTGACGGTCATGGCCCAAATGCTGGGAGACGAGGCGCAAGTTTATCGTTGATGAATAAGATTCGAGTCGCACGATGGATTTCGTCGGTACATTTTTTACGATGTTATGACTTTAATGACCACAGCCATGCCATGTTACATGTCATGCTTTTTGGGAGAGCTACAGACAACCTGGAATGTCTGCGTAGCTCTAGGACCGAAATGTTGGGGGCGAACGGAGTTGATGGAATACAACTTGACAAGTCACAAGCAAAGAGACACGATGGTGAGGAGAGAAAAGAGAAGGGGGAAATAGGGAGTTGTGGGAATCATCTTGGGACAAACTCGAGCTGTTGGCTCGAAATACGTTTTCTCTTCTCGTCTTCTTGCCTCAAGGGAGGAAAGGGTTGCACTCAGACGCACGCGCGCACATGGAAATCGACTGGCCAAAGAGTCAGCCCTCTAGGAGCATGTCCGCTCAGCAGCTCGTCAGCCACTTGCCCCTCCGCCCAACATCCCATCGGCCTATCAGTACACCGACCCGTTAATGCAAGCCCAAGTATCCGCGACCACGCTCAAGGATAGCCTACAGAGGACATCGGTACGCAAATGGAATGGGAAATGAGGAGGGCCGACACGAGAAGAGCGAAGAGGCGAGAGACAGGAGACGAGATGGAGAGAGTACCTACCACGCTACCTAAGCACATCAAACGGCGGCAGCCTCCAAACCAACAAGAGCTTCCAGTTCGAGTACGAGTACGAGTACAAGTACGTACGACGTATACATACCTACCTACTAGGTACCTAATGTATGTAATGTACATGCATGCCACATATGCTTGGATTTCTTTTACTACCCATTTCATTTCCATACCCATACCTATTCCTAGACCCATACCAAGTACCGAGTACAGACCACTCGACAACCAGGCAACCAGACCAGGTTACGTGGCTCCACGCCAATGTCTGTTATAGATACGATGCAGACACAGGCTCGAATGCTTTTTTCCCCTTGTGTATACTTACATACGTAGACAGTACATATACGACCTACATACATACTCGGTACACTCAGTGACTCACTACAGTACAGTACAGCCAGTATATTTAGTGGAAGCATCCCCAAACAACAAAATGGCCTCATCCCTCTTTCAAAGAATTGTAACAGATCACTAACAGGCTCCTGGACAGTATCCTCCTTCTGCTGTGCTGCTGTGCAGGGAACAAACATTCGGTAGAAGTACAAGGCTCTCGTTCCCGCGACTGAAACCGGTGACAGGGGTAGAGAACCAAGCGATGAGGCGCTCTGGCTGAGCGCTCTGAACGTCGTCTTATATAGGTTGAATTAATCAAGCCGACTTTATGGTGTCGAGAGGAAAACAATAGTCACAGCAAAGGTTTGCAGGACCAAGACGCATCAGCCGTGGTGTCCCTGTTCAGCGACCGAAAGCGATTCCACTCCTCCACCTTTTGCTGATGATCAAAGTCTTCAAAAAGTCGATGTCGTTATTTGCGGAATCGTCCATGATGGTCTGTTCCGCCTTGTTTCAGCAGCTGTAAAGGCTACCACTGCAAACCGACATTGCGAGCCCCATATTTGTCGCAGAATCGCAGCGAAAGAGGGAATTGGTGAGAGACAATTGTATCGGCCTCGCGGTGGCATGTACTCTTGCTCTGGAGAAACCGACAGATGCACGTATGACCACCGCAACACCAACAATCTGATCCGTCTTGTTCGACTAGGTACCCACGATGCCGGATATTTTGTCCCGTATCCTCTCGGCAAGGGTAGTCCCCGATTCCTGTCCTTTGCCCTCAAGCAAGCCATCGATCTCCTTTATTGTGGACGGCTCCGTAAGACCCCATAGCTTCCAAGGGCCTTCTTCACCCATGGCAGTCATCTTTTGTATCACCACGTAATCAACATGCTTTAGCACAGTATCCTTGTCACTGTCGGCGAGCCGATAGTTCTGAATGCTGCTGATGCGCACGATGCACTGTCGGAGAAATGTATCTGGAAATGGCAAAGGGGCGAGCCGATCCGAGACAACCCTGGTGCTTGCCCGGGGCAGAAATACCGCAAGGGGCCACCTCTCAAGCCAAACAGGATATCGAATACCCGAGTAACTCAAGAGCGACCAAGGTTCTTTCGAGCGGCCCATGGCCTTCCGTTGTTCAATTCGCATTCTCGCCTGCGCCATCAGACCCTCGCAGCAAATAACCTGTAGCCTTTTCATGTCTCCTTCCCCCAAAGCCTCATGAAATTCCCTGTGCAGGCCCCGCGCAATTTGATTTCTCTGGGAAAGTTCCAATGGCTTTCTCAGTTTTTTTCCCGTGAGAGGGTCCCGTTTGACATCCCATTTGAGGAAAACCACCAAACTATGAAGCAAGTCAGCCATGACGCAGATTGCAGAAAGAAGTCACATCTTTACCTCCACCAATCTTTGACAGCAGTTTTGAATTGTAGCCAATGTATCCTCGTTCTCTTGATGAATGCTGGGCTCATCCAACCGGGCAGGTCCCTGGTGGCAGGTAGGATGAAGGTCTGGGGTAGTTTTCCCAAATCAGTACCTATCTGTTGCCTGTTGGCCTTTTTCATCTGACTTTTCATCGACACATGTTTCGGGAGCTTGGAGTCTATGTTGGGGATGCTATGGGCGACTCCGGCGGCTGCATTTCTGCGTCGAGTGGTGGTGAACTGACGGGCGTAGACTGAGGGTGAACGATGCGCGCATTGAGGGCAGATCTGGAGGGTTCGACCTAAGGGAGTTAGGGGTAACGATAACTTGAGACCCTTGCTCGAGGCTCTGGCAACAGGATGTGCCATCTTGACCAGGCTCATAGAAAAGATGACTTCGCCTGTTGAAGAGCGTCCTTAACAAGGCCAACAGAGCTCCAGGAAAAGAAAAGAGGGCGGGAGCGCAGCCAATGTCCGAATGAAGACAAGTAGGACGCCGTCCTATACTTCCCATACCGCCCGCAAACATGATTTTAAGAGCGGCGCTTCTACTAATCCGAAAGCCTCGATTCGACCCACGTGATTTCGCCAGACTTGCCGCTCAAGGCAAGCTCAGTACGTCCAGACGTTACTAGCAAAGAAGCTGTTGGCCGAGTCTCGCTCTCGAAGCTGAGATTCATTTTGTATACACTTGCCTGAAAGGACATTTTGACTTCACCAGACTCCAGCCATGTCTGCTAAAAAGGATATGCGAAGGGCGGACCTTGGTCAGTATCTCGGATCGGTCGCATTGAAGAGTGTGCGCTCTGACGAATGTCGCTCGCTCAGTCATCCCCTACGTCGAGCCCAAAGATGAGAAACCCACCGATTTCAGCTCGACTATAACGAGCACCATGCCTATGGCAGCTGTGAGTGGATTGTGTTAAATTTTGTGCTTCCGAATGCTAATGACGAAAGTAGATGTTTACAAGAAATAGGTAAGGGACAGCACCTCTGATACGCATTGTTTATTGCTGACAATGACAATCAGGATGCTTGGCTGGTAAGAGGGATGAACACATGACCGTGGTTTGGACTTGACAGGATCAGGTTTTCTCTATTAACAGCACTGTTGAACTGGTTGGGAGAGACACCAGCCCAGAGACAGAGTCCTAACGGGACGCCCGCATATATGTCCTTTGGCATGGCTGGTGAGTCCAGAATAGTCTTTGCATTCATGGATCTGAGGCTAATGGATCTGAAAGTGCTTGCTGTTGGTGTGGTATGTTGTGTTACTGTTCAACCTTCAGCGCTGAGCACCGACTCATACGTTCCAGACATATATGCCCCTGTTTCTACCGCCACCACCAAACGCAAGAGGACCAGCAGCGCCGGCACCCGCCGCTTCAACATAGCGATTGGTCCAAGCAGCATTGGGGAATTCCATGGGAAGAACGGCCAAGAAATCCTGTATAGATCAACTGGTGGCTTCTGCGACAAGCGCGGCAATGTATGGAAGCATTCCCTCCACGATTTGTGCTCTGGAGTTTGAGGGCAGCGTGCAATGGCAGCTACGGAATAAAATGTTACAAAAGCGATGCCGGTCAAGTCCAGATCTTGGTCGTGGAAATCAAATAATTGAATGGGATCAGTATCTCGATATCGTCACATGCCATCATCTCTGGTCTCCGGGGATGAGCCTCATGTACGTGTAGAAAACAAGTCCCCAATCACCGTGTGTGGGACCTAGAAGTTGGAACCTAGAGCCCGCCAATGATTTTTGCCACAGGTTTAGGGAGTGGCCGTAGCAGCCACAACCAGCGTTATTCCAGGCCTTGGCGCCCGTAACGCACAGGTGCGGCTTAGGGGAGGAAGGGCATTGTGTGTCGAAGAGAATGGGGGCAGTGATTCTTTCGGGTTCCTTTCCTCCCTTGCCCAACCAGCCAACCCCACCAAATGGCCTGCACCCAACCAGTCACTGTTGCCTCTTGTGGTTCGCCTCTTGCATCAGCCCTTTTCCTGCCCCCGTTCCCTTTTCTCTCTCCTTCTCAAACAAAACCAACAATCCATCACCACACTCTCCACTCAACAACAACTCTTTCGCTTGCACTCCGGACATTGAACAGTCCTTAACTTCTCATCACCGACACTTTTCTTTCCAATCCAGCCCGTTCCTCGAGACAAACGAGTTTATGTCAACTATCCAAAACCTCAAAACCTTTGGTAAGCCGACCCCTCTTCTCACCCCCTCTCGCCACCTCGCAGCCGACGCTCATCGCCCAAACAACTCGCCTCTATCGTGTGCCTCGACAGCACCAGATTTTGGGAGCGACTGTTTGAGAGCATGGTTGAAACCCGCTGTCGACCTCCACGACCCTCGTGTACAGCAGCAATTGTTTAGCGAATTGTTGCGTGACTCATGGCTCACTGATTTATGTCACAGACCCCTTCGCGGAGGCCGACGACGACACTGGGGAAGCGAAGCAATCCCAGAATTACATCCACATTCGTATCCAGCAGCGCAATGGTCGTAAGACTCTGACCACCGTCCAAGGCCTTCCGAAGAAATTCGACCAGAAGAAGATCCTCAAGGTCATCAAGAAGAAATTCGGTATGTGAAAGAGATAAGGGACTACAAAGGTCTATGGCTGACAATGACCCCAGCCTGCAATGGCACAATCGTCACAGACAGCGAGATGGGCGAGGTGATCCAGCTCCAGGGTGACCAGCGCAAAGATGTTCAAGAATTCTTGGTCGCCAAGGACGGCCTCGAGCTCGATGCAAAGACTATCAAGGTAAGGAGATTCTACTGCGCCGTACGCAACGACGCCTTACTAATACTCATCCAGGTCCATGGTTTCTAAACGCCTCAGCCGGTATCCTGTGCTATCATGCTCGGCCTTCGAGGACAGATAGAAGTTGTCGATGGAGCTCCAAATCAATCTTCGTTTGAACGATGTCTTCTGGCCTGTTCGTCTTCGCTGGTCGATACAGTGGCATGGTCACGATAGCACCTTTGGGATGCGACAAGGTTACGCGTTTGATGATACCCACGATGGATATTTTGCCTTGGCAAGGAATGGGGGTGGGTTCGGACTGTTGCGGCATGGGACAGGAAGCAGCAATACATGGCTATGAAGAAGACACTCACGGCATTCGGCTGGGGAAACATGAGATGGCAGGGTTGGGCTGGTTTCTATCATTGATCCCACCAGACCATGCACGGTAGCTTTGAAATCATTATCGGAGTGTTGGAAACAACACGTTTCACTTTGGCTGTCTCAATCATTCCATTCCTTTGTTGGAGTTCCCGTTCCCACGACGGAGCTGTTCTGGAGTTCGGTTGAGACGCCATCGACGCCCTCTCTGGCTCAACCACTGCGTACATGTACTAACCACTTTGTACCGTGGGTTGAGATCAAGGTACCAGCTGGGGGCTGCTGGACTGGATCTCCCGCCAAGAATCTGGGGTAATTTAAAGCGAGCGGCGAGCGGCCTGTGACTCTTGTGTGGTTTCAGGTGCTGTTCTTATCGTATCTACAAGGACAACTTACAGTCATATAACTACTGGTCACGCGACTCTTCCCCCTTACGCCGTTTCCCACCTTTATCTTCACCCTTGTTGACGAATGGCTGTTTCCTCGCCCTGACACGACTTCGGAGTCCTCCTTCACGTTTCTGAAACAGGGAGTTTGAGCTTTGCCTTGGAATTAGAAAGAGATTTATTGTTTTGACTTGGGCTGCAAGGGCGGGACGACCTCACAACACCCTGACCAGGGGCTATGCAGCCGCCATAGCGCTGCAAACCCATTTTCCAACTGGCGAACTCGGGCTATCAGGGCCCACCATCATATGGCGATGCTTTTGTTCCACGCAACGGGAGCCTCCGTTATGCTGCTACTGACCCTACCAACCCGTCCCGCTCTCCTCCGACTGCCCAGCCTGGCCCCGCGCCTGGCGGCGCCGTCGTCGAGAATGCCAACATCGCCAGTGTCGCCATGTCAGCTCGATATCCCCGAGTAGCCGTCCTCCTGGGCGTCCAGCCTCGCTGGCACGTGCCGCTGCTGCTCTGTCGGGCTCTCTCGACCGTGTCGGCCGCGTGGTGGGCTTGCCAGACCTGTTACAGCATCTATCGACTCATCTCGGTCTACGACACGACGGGAGCGACAGCGGCGCCCTCCATCTCCACGTTGTCAGCAGGTGGCAGTGGTGGGACGAATGTCGGTGTTGGCGGTAGTGCTGGACCTGGACCTGGTGGTTTGCTTTTGGAGAATCGGATCTTCAGGCGCATGGCTGTGGCACAAGTATGCTTGAGCTTTCTCTGGGTATGTCTTGTTCTCGCGTCCTCGTTTCCCTTTTGCGGCGCATCTGGAGTTCCATACGCCGTCCATTTTCATCCCGTTTTGCAATGCCCAGGGATGCAGCTTGCAACGGCGGTCCAGTTTGGAATGCTATGTACCCTCAGCTCAGCCTCGTCTTCTCTCGTGGAGGAAGCGAAGCTCTCCTGCCTCCCCATGTTTCCTTATCTACACAAACCCAAACCAGGCCAGTTCATCGCTAACTTGGCCGTCTCTTCTCTTTTTTGCGACGTCTCCAGGCCGGGGCTGCAGCATACCTCGCACACATGTTCGCGTCGTCACTGATGTCGCGGTGGCTGCTGCACTACAGCCCCCTAGCGGTGCTGGTGCGGCTGTGCAGCCTTTCGATATTGCTGTCGTTCGGGTGCCTACAGATCTTCCGGGCCACGCGGGCCACGGAGCCGGACCTGCTCCAGCTCAGCCGCAGTCTGCTCGCGTGGATCGCCATCTCGATCGGCCTGATGCTCGCCTACTTCTGCACGCAGCAGGACATATTCTCGGCCGACCACGACGACCGCGACGACCGCCGTCGCCGCCAGATCCTCCGCCTCAAGTGCCTCTACGTCATCTCGGCCTGCAGCCTCTTCAGCCTGCTGGTCCTCGTCGGCATCGTCCAGCTGGACCACCACACCGGAATGTCCCTGAAAGGAATGATTGCTGCCGCTATCGGGAGCGCGAGCGAGGGCGGGGATGGTAGTGCCGGCCAGGGCCGGGGCCTCGCGAGGCCTCTACACGATTGGCTTGTGACTTGCAAGGCGTTGGTGTCTGACCTGGCACAACAATGGCGCAGGTTCGCTTCCGGCGCCGCTAGATTTGGAGCCGAACTGTGACTCCCGAAAGAAGGATGAAAGGACAGCGAAGAACAGCGCAGCGAATCGAAGCGAGTCCCAATTTCATGTTGGTTTTTTATTTTGTTTTTGTAACTCTGTGGGGGGTTTTTTTTTGGTTGAATTGATTCCACTAGAGATGATGATGTATTAGAGGTATTGAGGTATTAGAGGGTATTGCGACAGTGTGATTGATGTACTGAATACTGAATACGGAATACGGAATACGGAGATGGATACGGGTGCGGGTACGCATGGATGGCTATGCGTTTAATCAGGAACCAGGGGCCTTCTTTTCTCTATCTCTCTCCCTCTCCCTCTCCTCCCCTAAGCGTGAGCAGTGCTTCTGAGCTTTGAGTAAGTGTTGCGTGGCGAGGCGAGGCGAGGCGAGGAGTGGAGTTGAGCCGAGTTGAAGAAAGAGAGGCGAGCGAGAGAGAGAGAGACTGATAGATAAATGTCTAATGAACCATTTTTCTGTCTTTGGGACGACAAAACACACAGGACCTAATCAGGGTGAGATCCTACGTTCCAGATGATACCTTTGCTTGCTCGCTTTTTGGTTTTGATAGAGAGTGAGATGCTGTAATCGTCGACGACGTCTCGACTGACTCTTATATGTGTAGAATCTTCTCCCCTTCTCTCCTCATGTCCTCGCCCCTCCGCAACAGGTCTCTTTCTCTTTCTCTTTCTCTGTACTCTCGCCTATCTCCTCTGGGTCTCTTTCCGTCTCTGACTCCCTCTCCCATCTCGTCAGACCGTTCTCCACTGGATCGCTTTCGGGCCATTTGATCGCCCGCAATGTATAGCACTGAGGACCGTAATATGGTCCTCGTGTCACCGCTACCGTCTGTTTATATGTCCACGTGTATATATCTGAGTGTCTAACTCTTGTAGATCTCTCCATCATTTATCTCATGTGGTGAACCTTCCCCCTTTTTGATTCTAGTCTTTTCTTGTTGTTCTTCATGGAGGCGAGAGAGGGCTGCTGCTGTACATCTCCAGCCATTCTCCCTCTCATCTGTTCAGGGAATTGCGACTTCGTCTCGTCATGCCCACGTCGGGGCGGGGTGTCTCGCCGTGACTTCCGGTGCGCCTCGTTGCGATACTCGCAGTCTCTGGCGATGATCTCTTGTTGGCCAGAACGCTCTGTAATTCGTGGCTCTCGCCTCGCTCCAGCGAATCGTCCACGACGGCGACTTCGTCGGACTCGTCTGGAGGCGATGTTCCTCCGGCGCGTGATGGTGTGCTCTCTCCACTCTCGCCGTACGCGCCGCCCACGCTTTCCATGACAAAGGCGCCCGCAGTGGGTGCGTCCAGGGCCCGGAGCTCTTCGTCCCGGAACCACTTGGGCATCAGCCACGTGCGGAACGGGATCAGGAGGAGAATGATGATGGGAAATCCAATGGCAGCGATGGTCTGGGAGATGGCAAAGGTCGCGCCGAATCCGACCAATTCACACGCCACAAAGACCCAGATGGCGGCGCGACGCTCGATTCGTGCCAGCGGGTCCGTCGCGTCTGTCAACTCTTTGTCCCGCGCCAGGAAAAGCAACTTCTGAGTAATGCCATTGCCCTCGAGAGCTTGGACTCCCATGACGAAGAACAGCCCGGCAAGCACACCCTGTGGGATCAGATGTAGCACGACCAGTAGCGGCCCGCTCATCGTGACCAGGAACAAGAGACCCTGCGCAAGGTTGCTGAAGCGCTGCTCAACGACGTGATCCGTGACCCGGACGATATGACCCCTCGCCTTCTCGTCGACGACCTGCCTTGTGACGCAAAGAGCGTTCGTATGGAATGGCGCCTGAGGGATGAGGCCGTTTGGGAAAGGGATGCCGAGAATTCCCGCGATGCCGGTGGTGAGACCGAGGAGGAAGATATCCCAATGGAACCCCGGCGGTTTGCGCAGCGGGAATTCTGTCCCTTGTGCAATGAGAGACGACACTAAGGACATTGGTCAGATGGATACGGATCCAGAGTCAGCTGCGTGGCACATACCGTTGTGATCAAACCAAAACAGGACTGTCAGAAGGATCGCGAAAGGGATTGCCAGGAAGACTTCTCCTACACTGATATCCCAAAAGTGGACGAACCAGCCACGGTCAGCAGTCGGGTGGAACGATTTGCTCGTCGGCAGGGTTTCGAGATGTACATTCCTCATATGGCCGATATGGACGAATCCGGTGAAGAAGACAATTGTCAGCGGAGTGCCGTAGTCCTCGATGAATTTCCGCACATGTCGTTGCAACAGGTTGCTGTTGCCGAGCACACCGCATCCATATGCAAACCCAAGGACCAGCAGACTGACCATGACAGACAGGTAGGCACTGGTTTCGCCAGCCAATCCCCACTGTCTGGTCAGGACTTGGATACCCTTTTGCAGATAGATAAAGGCAACGTAGAACCCAAAGGTGTCGCAACTGAAGCGCGTAACGTAGGTCAAGGCGTTGCAACTGTTGGTGATGGCCAGGAGCCAATGCATGAGCAGAGACCATATGCCGATCCAGGCCATGAAGGCAAAGAAATTGGTGCCATGGGGGACGATGATGTCGTACACCGTATACGAAAAGACGGTGATGGGACCGGTAACGCCTACGATGACAAGAGGCTGCGCGGCGAAAAGAGAGAAGACCACACACGCCATGACTGAGGAGAAAAGGACTTCATTGACGCCGTATGAGTTGTGGGTCTTGGTGAACATGTCGAGGGAGAATGCCAAAGCGGGTAAGATGCTGGGATAGCAGTCAGCGGCTGTACATCATAGCAGCATAGAAGTCCATGAGCATCAGCGAAGAGGGAGGACATCAAGGACATAAGGTGTATAAAGTTGGTGCATCCGGTAGATTGTATATGGATTTAGCATACTTTGCAAAGTACATGTACACGGTGGCGGGGATGACCCTATAATCCCAAGCATCCCTCCAATCACTCCAATAGTACGGTGCCCGTCTCTTGAGGTCGTCAACTATGCCCTTGAACCAGCGTATCTTGTACCATTTCGGGGTGCGCCGGTGCGATGACCGAGTGGTCTGTCGCGAAATGTGTTCCGAGAGGCGTTGAATCTCTTCAGGATCAGGACGGGAGTTAGTCGAGTGGAAGGACGGTCGATGATTATGCTGCCATGGCTTTTTCTGAATCGAGTGAGACGAGGACTGGCGGCGCACGAGGGCAGGAGTCGTGCGCGAGGCCGAGGGTGTGATGACTTCGGTATGAGTCGCCATACTGTTGTCGCACGGTCTAGGGACCTATCGTATGGGTGAGATCTGATGAGAGCGTTATGTTAGCGTCACCCTGCGAGGATGACCTGTGTTGTATGCCGATGAAAAGAACATCCAATGTAAGACACGGGTACAACAGCACGAAGGACGCAAGATAAAAGAAAGACGTAACAAGCGCTCAGCCCATTCCTCGAGCAGGAGACAAGGTCGACCTTGTCAATATCATGGAGCTGTTGAAGCATGCGGTGACGCAGGACGAAAAGGGAAGAAAGGAAGGACGAAAGCGGTGGAGGGTCGACGACGATAATGACGGCAAAGATTGTCATGCTGATCACCGCCTTCTTTGCTTTGGTGCGAGTGGCGCGCAGGGAAGGTTTCCTTAGCTACGCAGGGAACCCCGCATTTTCCACCTCACACATATCCTTCCGTCCCAATGTCAACCTGTGCCTCCGTTCCCAAGTTTCTCTAGCCATACATAACCATGCAGCCAGACGCCAGTCTCATCCAGTTTTCCATATCTTACAGGATTCGTCGACTTCACGGGGATCGCTGCTCGGGAGAGTGTCGGCGCGCAGTTGAGTGACCATCATGTCTTGAACCACACAAATAGTGGAAACCATATAGTCCCAACTCCCTTATCCTATCCCAGCCGGGAACGTTGAGAGATATGTGAGCTGATGATCACCACAGCCGCCAAAACGAGCAGACCAGAGATGATCGATGGTGTCCTACTTTGATTAACAACTCTCCACAGTTCCTATCAAGAGCAGACTCACCGTGACACCTCCAGAGAACTTTTCACCATCTGCTCGCCTTCTTGGGCGGCCTCTTGTGACCAGCCATCATATGTCGACGGTGAACACTCGGCTATGATCTTGTCGATCTCGTCCACAACCTCGGCGGCACTGCTGTATTGGAAGGACCAGCACTTTCGCATAACAGGTCCCAAAATCAGGTCGTCCGTATCTGGAAACTCGCCGGCATCATACCGCGCTTTAATCTCATGGTCTGTCTTGTCGTGGTAGGGCCGCCACGTTGTCGACATCTCGAAGATGGCAGAACCCAGAGCAAACAGTTCCGTGTGTATGCTTGGCTTGGTGCCTTTTTTGCGAAACAAGTGAAACCCCTCACACCCCCCAGGAACTACGGTAAAGTCCCCTTCGTCTATTGAAGAGCCGGCAAAATCACATAGTTTGACGTTGTCTTGGTTGTCGAGCAGAATATTGTGAGTTCCAATGTCAACCTGGAAGACGTTCTTCCCATGTATATATTGTATCCCCTCGCTGACCTGCCTGGACCATTTCAGAATTTGTCCTTTGGTCGGGAGTTCATTTCTCTGCCGTAGTTCAATAAGGCGCTGACGCAGGCAGCATTCGAGCCTTTCGAGGATGATTCCTTTGTGGTGCATAGAAATGCACTTGACGATAGAAGGGTGATGACCGAGGCGCCCGTATATCTCCCGCTCAATGATTTCGTCAAGCTTCCTTTCTTCACCACCAATGAAGTTTTTGATGACGGTTTTGTCATCCAAGACGAGCACTGCGCCGGAGACGCCATAGGAAATGAGAGGAAGATTCCCAGTGTAACCCTCAAGTTTATCTGCCCACTCGGCCATTTTCAGTCAAACGAATACGCGGGTTGTATACAAGCAGAGGAGAAAGCAGGAGACCGTTGTCTGAAGAGTAGTATCAGAAGCTCACACCCCTTGTGACAAGCTGGGCGAGTGTGGTAGAAAGGGGACAGAAGACATGTTGCTCGAATGGACGAATCATAGGAGGCATTGCGGCTAGTTGGCCTCTCGGCTTCTTGGCATCACTAATTCCAGCCAATCAGCATCATTTTATGCGCAGGGGCCCAACCCTAGCTCTTTGACCTTCGACCTCATCTTTCATGTCTTTGAAATAACATTCTTCTCCAATCAAGCACCTAGCCAATACCCAAATTTCCGGACATGCTCACGACTTTGAGGTCATGTCCCCGCTACCTCCCTTGCTCTATTTCTGTGCTGGCCGTAGTTTCGGCTCGAGGACGACGCAGACTAACGATGACCTCCACTGAATCTGTAGAAGAAGAGACTCTTCTAAGATATCGTCCAGAAAACTACTATCCTGTGACATTCGGCCAAGTCTTTCACAAAAGATACAAAGTATTGGCGAAACTGAGGTTCGGAGGAGGATCGTCCACAACTTAGCTGGCCCAGGACCTAACACGGTGACCTCAAGTGAGATGATACAGGTATCCGCATCGTTGCAGCTCATACAGCAAATTGTGCTGCTAATTCTATCAAAAGGTATCTTGATTAATATCGAAGTCTCAAAGCCTGCCGGTGTAGGTCTGGAATGTACCATCACTAAGCTCTCCGGTGAGGACAAGAGATTATTTCTCCAATTCGTCGGAAGAATGCTTCGGTGGCTGCCAGAGGAACGTGCGACGGCCCAAGAACTGCTTGGGGATCCCTGGCTTTACTCTTGAGTAAGGTATTGATCCGAACACCTGTCCGAAGCAGAGACAACAGATACAGCAACCCCGTTCGACTTGTTTTGTCCTGGTCACCTTGCATTGGCCACCATCTCGTTGGCGACCATCTCAACGGGGCAATCCATGACGAGGCATAACTACCAGGAGTAAGCATTGGTACAGGCACTCGATAGTATCACAACGCCAAGGTTATCCTTGCAGAGAGCTTTTTACCTCAAAAAACACCATCACCGCAAACCGGCCCAAATGTCTGCAAGGACCTATTTACCAAGCAAAAGCAAGCCACAGCCTCACTCTGGCTTGAATTCTAAGTAGCAGTAACATTCACCTAAAAATAACATCAGCATCAGCAACTCTAGTCTCAAATATGCAAGATAAAACTTACAACTTTCAAAAGCTTGCCATCAGTGCACGCTGAACAACTTCCCTGCATGCGTGTCGATCCCAAAATAGCATTCTGGGAAGGGATGCAGTGATCTGGAGGACAATAACGGAAGGTTCCATTTGGTCTGGGTTGTGCGCAGAGCCTGATGCTTCTGAGTGCCACTACATGATGTGGATTCTGAGTACACTCGTTGTAGATAACGTGCATATCAAGATATGTGCACATTGTCTTTGTCAGGGGTCTTGCTTGGAGCCGCCGAGGTACACGAAAGGGATGCTGTGTAAAATGGTGATGGCGTCGATGTCTGATATGCAGTGGAAGCGATGCAAGTGAAGGCGTGGTTCCTCTTGGACGAAGTTCATCTTCTAGAGGCAATGTTGAGGGTTGAGTACAATTTGCTCAGAGCACTTGCTGCCTAACGGCGCGTGTAACACAGAGTATGTCACGGGACACGCTGCAGCATTGAATTGACATCTGTCACTTTGACGTCTGCCACTGTTCTCTCCTCTCCTTCTCACTGGGCCATTCATCGACCTCAAACGTCGAGGGTGCAGTCAGTGGAAGACTTGACCGAGGACTCGTCCGCCTCACCGCCGAGCTCTTCGAACGCTTTCACCTCGCAACAAATCAGTCTTCGTCCTTTCGAAGTAAATCTGTATAGTAGGCACGGTCAGATTGTCTATTTGGCAGAGGTATTTGTTCTGCGCTCCGTCTCCTATCACACGACCGGGTCCGTCCTCAAAGTCTTCTGCACACACACCACGGCCACAAACACGTTGGTCGGAAAGATCAAGGAGGGAACGGGCGGAAGAAAAAAAGATGGCTCAAAAGGCACAGGAGTCTGGAGAAACCGCCTTTGCGCAGCTCAAGGAGATGATCCGCGAAACATTGAGTGTTCAACCTCAGCCTGAACAGAGGGGTGCAGATAAGATAACGAGCCACTTGTGGCTGGCCGTCTACAGTGTCTATTGTGCCAGACTGGGCGATTCAGTCTCCTTGTTGACACTCGAAGCTCATTAGCAGTCAGACATCCCTTTTCTCCAGTCTTGAGTCGGATCAAACAACCTCATTGTCGGTTGAGATGCATGGGTGGATATCTGCCCGAGATTTCCACACAAGGCAAGCTCAGGACCCTCAATATTCTTCTCCCGAAAAGAACATCGTTGTAAGGGACTTGTCAAGCAGGTGGGAAACAACTTCAAGGTATCCAAATCCCTTCGGACTTGATTGGAACGAGGGCAACGACAATCGCACAACATTCCTGGATTTAACCACTGGCCCACCGGGGACAAGACCGGATTGGAAATCCATGTCCACGTGGGAGATGTTCTTGGTAATAGCCGGTGGAACACTAAAAGAGAGCAGAGGATAGAGACAGCAGGAAAGGGAGGGGGAAACAAGTGACGAAATGATTCACTAATCATCCGAGGCTGTGGTTTCATTGTGGGGTCACAGGCTTTGTCAAGCGTGTAGCGTATACGATGGTATCTCCAATACATGTACTCGATAAGGGGAGGTAAGGCTAAGGCGATGGGGTCGTGATGTTGTCATTGGAGGAAAGGCGAAGCGACTGACTGTTACTGTAGGGGAGGGAGTGTATATCGACATACATACATACATATACCTACATACCTACCAACCTACGTATTCAACATCCTACATAACACCGGCCCAACAGTCTTAACACATTTATTGCTCATCGCTTCTCCCCTCCACCCTCTTCCTCTTCTACTACCACTACAGAACCAGAACTCCCCCCTCTTTCAAGCATGTCCACCACCACCCCCACCCCCGCCTCAGGCTCCGCCCCAACCCGGCCAAACATCACGCTCTACACAGACTCGACGCCCAACGGGATCAAAATCTCCATCGCGCTCGAAGAGCTCGGCCTCCCCTACCGGACCGAACACATCGACATCTCGACGAACCGGCAAAAGGAGGCGTGGTTCCTTGAAATCAACCCCAACGGACGCATCCCCGCGATGACGGACACATTTCGCGGCGACGGCCAGCGCATCCGGCTGTTCGAGGCCGGCGGGATCCTGCAGTACCTCGTGGACGAGTACGACGCTGACGCGCACAAGATCAGTTTCCCGCGCGGGACGCGCGAGTACTACGAGATGGTGAATTGGACGTTTTGGCAGAATGCAGGATTGGGCCCGATGCAGGGCCAGGCGAATCATTTCGTGAGGTGAGTTTTCAATTTTCATCCGATTCATGCGATGTCCATTCTATATATACATCTTTACCTTGTCAGGAGGGGTTGTCAAGTTTGCCATTTGTCATGTTTGACTCGCGCTCCCACTCAGAAATACAAAGAAGGGGGGGGGGGAAGGGCAGAAAAAAAGAAACTGAAGCGGTCATGACGGAGGCCATGCTCAGAAAGGAGTGCCCTTTTTCCCTTTTCCCCGCGCTTTACAGGGTAGTTCTTTGTTTTTGTTGGAGGACGAGAGGATCACAACGCATTATCCAATCCCACAGACTATGGCAAACAACTGACAACTGGCCAAAAAAGATACGCCCCCGAAAAGATCCCCTACGGAATAACGCGCTACGTCAACGAGACACGCCGACTATACTCGGTCCTGGACAAACACTTGGCCAACTCGCCCTCGGGCTTCATCGTGGGCGACCACATCTCCATCGCCGACATCACGACCATCGGCTGGGTCATCTGGGCGGGCTGGGCGGGCGTCGACATCGACGAGTTCCCCCACCTCAAGAAGTGGGAGGAGATGATGTCGGCGCGCCCGGCGGTGCGGAGGGGGTGCGACGTCCCCAAACCCCTGAAAATCAAGGAGCGCATGAAGGATAAGGCGGGCATGGAGGAGTACGCGAGGCAGGCGAGTCAGTGGATCGTCCAGGGCATGAAGGATGACGCGGCGAGGAAGGAGTAGGTCTGCGACGACTGCTGGGAGGACTCGATGGAGGAGAGGGAAGAAATAAGAATGGGGATGGGAAAGGGGGGATGGAAGGAAGAAGAGACGATTGCCGTCTTCCAGGCTCAGCGTGAGCAACTAGGTAAGCTAGAATATCATAACATAACATACCAATGTCAATATCAATATCATATGGCACTGTCGCGGTCACTGCTACTGCCACTGTCCGGCCTATGTGGATGCATACATACATACGTGCATTCCCATGTATAACTACAGATTCCTCATGAGATCCTCCGAGGCTTCCCAGTTCATTCATCAAGAGAGGAATAATATGCTTCGCACAACCAAGAACATCGAATTATGCACCGACAAGGAAACGAAGAGATACCCGTACTTTAGCGGTATAACAGTATGTCCTACAGACAGGATGCATTCAGCCTCCTCGGCTCCTTAGCGGACGTGGTCGTCCCTTGCATGATTCTCGTCCTTGTCGACGACAATCTTACCGGCCTATTCCCGCAGACGCGCCCTGTCACGGTTGTGCAAGGGAATGCCTGGGCCGAGGGCGACAGTGGGCGCTATCGGCCGCTGTGTTTGTGGTTGGAGAGACCAGCGACGCGACACTAACCAAGTACCACATCTCGCATGTCACATCTCCCATGCTGGCCTTGTTGATTTTTCTTCACGTCTCCTTCTCCTGCATGGCATGGACGAAGGGGGGAGAGGCTAAGGGTTTTCTTCGGTTACACTTACATTCGCACATTACATCCGTCTCGTGGCATGAAATGAAACCAAAAGGGACTGACTCCCTGTCTCCCTGACTCCTTGACTAGCGACTAGCACTAGCAGAGGTGGACAGAGCGTCCTCAGAGTGACAGGGGCGTTCGCTAGCTAGCTAGCTGGCTAGCAGCGATCGTCACCTTTCGAAGCAATCCCGCAGGCTTCCATGAATCTTCTCTTGCATAGGTGCGTCGAGTCATCCCCAACCTTGAACCGAGCTACTAGTGTGTCGTGCAGATCGAGGAAGATCCAGGGAGGGTTGCACTCACCACGGTATGCGGCATGGAGCCTGATAACAAAGTACCATCGCGACAGCTCCACAGGTGCCATGAAACCATGTAAAGCAGCGAGAGTCGTTTGATGAGGCTGATATCATCTACCGTAGATGTAGGCTCTCTGCGTACATGCCAAAGTGGACACAGGACGTTGAGTCCGCGGACGACAAGGGTGTCTGTCAACCGCCACGCCATTGCTTCTATGGGCCTTCTCTTGCATGGCGCGTTGAAACTCGCCTGTCCGGGTGATTTTCTCTGGCATTCAGCCTGTCGGGGTAGCTGGCCCCGCTAAGTTCGACTGTCGCCCAGTTCCGTAGCGTCGGGGTTTGTCTGGGTCGGCAAAAGCATTAGCAACGTCTATCAAGTCCAGCGCCTACCCGTTTGGGATCATGTAGAGTGCCCCCAAACCACGTCGACTCGACGAACACTCCTAGGAACGGTCTTGGAAGGCGAATGTCGCCAGGCTTCAACGCGCGGTTGGCCATGACGGCATAGTGGACAGGATGCTAGTTAGCGCTGCGGACTCGCGTATCTGCGTCGATACAAGAGTAGACGAAGGAATGGGAAGCCGCTTCCAAGAGGGCTGGCAGAGGGCACCCTGTTAATGCGCTTTCCCGAGATGGAAGTCGTGGACCACGGACATGGTATTTTGAGCGGAGCTCCCAGCCTTGTTAACCCCAGTTAGTGTAACAATGGCAAGGGTCACGGTAGTAATAGTAACGACGGCATGTTCAACATGGTTTCCAAGGCAGCAAAAGGCAGGGGAGCTTGTGGCATGTGAATAAGAGTGGCCCCAAGAACAAGTACGGCATAGTACTTTCAACCGTCTCCTGCAGCAACTCGCTTGCTTAGAGCCTCTGCAGTTCATGGTGGATTTGTGGTGCTGACAAGGCAGGATATTCCGTTATAGGAAATGTCCGCACCATGACCAATGACAATCAAGTCTTCTCAATGGCCCCAACCGCGTACGAGGAGCTGCATGACAAAGTAGCTCACTCAGCCAGTTTCGAATGTTTCTGGAAAGCACCCCTGATGGACCAGTAGAGGACATGGCCAAATGATTCGTGCTGGCGGGTAAACTGGCGTGGCATGGGATTCTGTAACGGTGTCTTGTGGACTCGAAGCCCTGTGCGGTGTGGTCCAAACCATGAGGTACTCTGGCAAACAGCCCAATGAATCCAATCAAGATCCCGCCTCGACCGTCACCGGGCAGCCACCATGAGCAAAAGATGTCCCGCCGTGACCGTACACCAGGTTGTTGATAGGGGTTCCCCAGGGTCAAATGCTGTGTCATTCACCTCATTACGACACACAATTCTTCCCGCAGAACATTGGCGCAAGGCTTACCGTGTCGAGCACAGAAGAAGGGACTCGGACTTTCCTTTCTAGGTAGGTGATGTGGGCCACAAAGAGCTGCTCAGGTAAACCAGATCATTTTCAGATCTCGTGTGTGCTGACTCAAGCCTTGAGAAAATGACCCTGCAGCACGACCCAGCGAAACTGGACGGTTGGCGAGGTAATGTCCTGCCTCTGTGACACACTGCAGAACTGTTGGTGTGACATGTTCCAATGACAAGGGAGCGACAGGTTGCTGAATGAGGTGCATGGGGTGTGCAAGCCGCCTTATCAAACACATTATTGCGCGGCGGAGGAGTTGTCAAAACAGCGGTCACGGGTTCAACGGTTTTCGCTCGCATTGGGGGAAGCGTTATGCCGGCGAGATATGAAGGGCTGATTGGTCGAGTAACTTGGCTGCGTTGAGAGCAGGGAAGCCGACTGGAGCCTTTTGGCTGATACAAGGTCCGGCCAGTAAAAAGCAAGGCCCAAAGCTGGCAGTTCTGTTGAAACTGGCGACCAGGACTCTGCTTCGCTCGCTTAGTGGTACGAATGATTTGCGCCGTGGCCCCTCCAGCCGCCATCCGGCCGGTGTCCACCAGATCTGATTACCTGGTGATCACAGGCCAGCACTGGAAGCAAGTACCGCGTACTTGTCCTTGTAGAGACATGTATCCGCTCTTCCGGATCGCCGATCTCTAGGCTCATGAATGTCTCGTCGCTCTTGCTGCTTAGGTCAGGAGGTACATTGCTTGTACGGAGTACCGGTAGGAAGGTAGGCAGATGCAGACAGGGATAAGGGTTGATGGTGATGGTGTCTTTGCACTTTGGCTGGACGTGCGTCGGCCGGAGCATATTATTCGCCGTGCATGCGAAGCTGGAATTATGCAATTATGCAGCAGCACAAACCCACGCGATTCCCGTATAGGATTGAAGTGGGTGGGCAGATCTCGATCATGGAAAGAAGAAAAAACAGGGTAATTTGTGCGATTCACACCAAAATATACGATGGCAACTCAGCCGAGCATCAGTAGCGCGCCCCAGATCATCAATCAGGTCACTGCATGTACGGTAAATTGTACCGTGTACAGCTGCTGTCCGTGAAGCTCAGGCGACCGGATCGACACCCGATTGTAGAGGGGAAGCTGTACAAGCGGGTTTGATCGACCTACGACATACCAAGCTTTGGCGAGGTCCAAGCCTTGAGCGCCGTGCCGAAGACAAGAAAGGGTATACCAAACGAGGCAGGGTCACTTCCAAAAAGGACAGACGGGGTCACCGCAGCTCCCTTTACGAGTACAGACCCCAGAAAGGGCCTCCACGGCCTCCCACTGTCCCCAGGTTAGGCGTGCAAACGACCTGAACACCAAAGCAGGGTCTAGCGAACCGATAAGGAGACCGAGCCGACTGTTTGGAACCTCATCATTCGTAGACACCACGTCGGGAACCAAGGACAAAGCAACCTCAAACCCTTGAAAACAAGACCAGGCAGGATATACCAAAAGTGTCAGTATCATGAGAATGAGAGCGCGCCTGATCGACAATACCCACTGACCTCATCCAACGCAGAGCACGTGGAAGGCAGAGGATATGTGTCTTTCATTGTGAGATAGAAACCTTGACCGAGTAGAGGGAAGATGATGAATCATCCCGCCCAAGACCTTGTATTTTCAGGGTAAACCCAAAGCCCTTGATGCACCTGATAGGTGATCAAGGCATTGCGATGAAGACTCATAGAATGTTGCCGCCTCGTCTCTACACTCACTGGCTTACTCAAGCCAACAAATGCTCCATGGTGCTCAGGCTGATGTCAGAGTACCGAGAAGTGGGCAACATTTTTTGTTGGTCGAGCCAGGCCACCAGGAGAACGAACCTCAGCAAACCAGGAAGGGAAACACAAGCATTCCCAGAACAGCTCTTCAGGCAAAAGAAAAAAAAAAGGGTGGTTGAGGTCCATCAGGCCAGCGGCAACTCAGTGCGGTGGCCCATGGACATGAATGAAGTAAATAGTTGCTTACGGAAGCCCTGGCCGGTGATTGGCCCATGATGAGAGATTTCACGAGTCAAATTTTTGCAGATTAAAAATTAATGCTTGGTTGGTTGTCTTAGGGTGGAGATTCCTAAGAGGCGTGAGAGAAACAGAAAGTGCAATACAGAAACAAACCTTAGGATCAAGGGGGGCAAACAAACGACTGAATTTGAAGCGAAAATGCTCCAAAGTACCAGGTAATACTCGGTACCTATACAGTTTCGGGACAGATGTCGGACAAGAAGGGAGATTTTTACACGTGGGTCTTTTGTTTGTACTCGGTACGAGTTGAATAAACAATCACGCCGAGGATGAAGCACGGGAAGCAAGATGGTATGGGTCCTGGATGGGTATACGGGGAAAGAAGAATAATAATGAAATGCTGGATAAAATGTGAAGAACCACCACCAACCTAGGCAGCGAGGGCCCTTGGCCGACTTCTCGAATTTCTGATTTGATTGAGCGAAATTTCCTTTCGGCCCTCGCAGCAATAAAAAAAAATTGGCTGACCGTCCCGGGTCCGAGAATGGGAGAAGGGAGGAGAATAATCGAATAACATGGGACCACTCAGAAGAACTACAAGCACATAGTTGTAC